TTGACAAATGATGTCACCTACTTAAAAGTATACAAATCGGAATAATGGCTTCGTAATTTTGTGTTGCGATGAAAACAGCATATCTGTCACCATAATTCACGTACACTAAACTAATTTCGGAACATTTGTATATTCATATACTTTTGAAGTAGTCGCTCTATAGTCTAAACCTTTTTCATTGCTACCATAACACCATTAAGTTTAGCGGAAGAAATTTTAGTTTTACGTCAGTCTGAAGTAACAATTGAAAGCGATATTCCCCTACGTATCGCTATGCGGCTTATTTACTTACTTACGCCTGTTACCCCCAATGGAGCATAGGACGCCCACCAGTTTCCTCCAACCAACTCTGTCCTGGGCTTTCCTCTCCAGTCCTGTCCAATGTTTGTTCATTCCTCTCATATTTTTTCACTATTTCTCGGCGTAATGTATTCTTTGGCCTTCCTCTTTTCCTTTTGGCTTGAGGGTTCCATGCGAGGGCTTGTCTCGTGATGCAGTTAGGTGCTTTTCGTAGTGTGTGACCTATCCACTTCCACCGCTTCTTCCTGATTTCCTCCACTGGAATCTGGTTTGTTCTCTCCCACAGTTCGTTGTTGCTGATGATGTCTGGCCAACGAATACGAAGTACTTTGCATAGACAACTGTTCATAAACACTTGTATCTTCTGGATGATGCCTTTTGTAGTTCTCCAAGTTTCCGCTCCATACAGTAGAACTGTCTTGACATTTGTATTGAAAATCCTGATTTTGGTTGACAGTTGTTTGGAGTTCCAGATATTTTTCAACTGTAGAAATGCAGCCCTTGCTTTGCCAATCCGCGCCCTCACATCTGCATCGGATCCATCCTTCTCGTCGATGATGCTGCCCAGATATGTAAAGGTGTTAACGTCGTCCAAGGCATCTCCATCAAGAGTGATTTGGTTGGTGCATGTTGCGTTGCATCGGAGGATTTTGCTTTTTCCTTTATGTATGTTGAGACCTACTGTTGCGGCAGAGGCTGCTGCTACACTGGTCGTCTTCTCTTGCATTTGTTGTTGCGTGTGCGATAGAAGAGCCAGGTCATCTGCAAAGTCCAGATCGTCCAGCTGCGTCCTAACTGTCCAGTTGATACCGTGCTTCCCTCCAGATGTTGACGTCTTCATAATCCAGTCGATGACCAGGAGAAAGAGAAAGGGTGAGAGTAAGCAACCTTGCCTGACACCGGTCTTCACCTCAAAAGAGTCTGTCAGCTGACCTCCGTGTACGATTTTGCAGTTGAATCCATCATAAGAATTCCGTATGATGTTGACTATTTTCTCAGGCACACCGTAGTGTCGAAGAAGCCTCCACAGTGTTTTCCTATCCACACTATCGAATGCCTTCTCGTAGTCGATGAAGTTGATGTAGAGTGGTGAGTTCCATTCAATTGATTGTTCCACAATGATCCGTAATGTAGCAATTTGGTCAGTACACGATCGATCCTTACGAAATCCGGCCTGTTGATCTCGAAGTTGGGCGTCTACGAAGTCCTTCATTCTGTTTAACAATACCTTGTTGAAGACTTTGCCTGGTATTGAAAGAAGAGTGATGCCTCTTTAGTTCTCACACTTGCTGAGATCGCCTTTCTTTGGTATTTTGATCAGGTATCCTTCTTTCCAATCTGATGGTACTTGTTCCTCATCCCAAATCTTCTTGAAGAGGATGTGAAATATTTTCGCAGTTGCTTCTACATCTGCTTTCATTTCCTCTGCTGGATTGTTGTCTGGTCCTGCTGCTTTGCCGCTCTTGATTTGTCTGATGGCCGTACTGATCTCCTCAATCGTAGGTGCGCCAATATTAATTGGGAGGTCCGTGGATGCTGCTTCGATGTTGGGTGTGTTCAGTGGAGCTGTTGGATTCAGGAGTTCCTGAAAGTGCTCTACCCACCTATTTCTTTGTTCTCCAGTGTTGCTGATTATTTTCCCTTCCTTGCTTATCACTGGTCGCTCTGGTTTACGATAGTTTCCGGCCAACTTCTTTGTTGTTTCGTACAATTGTCTCAAGTTTCCGTCTCTTGCAGCCTTTTCCACTGTCATTGCTAGATCTTCCACATATTTTCGTTTGTCAGCTCTGATGCTCTTCTTCGCTTCCCTGTTTGCTTCCGTGTATTCAGCTTGTGCCTTAACTTTCTCTGCTCTTGTTCGGCTGACATTAATTGCTGCCCTCTTGTTCATCCTTTCTTCAATTTTTTCAAGAGTACCAACAGAGATCCATTCCTTGTGATGATACTTTATGTGACACAGTACCTCCTGTCACGTTGAAGTGATTGCGGCTTTGATCTCTTTCCAACTGTTCTCCAAGGTTGTTTCTTCTCCATTGAGTAGATCCTGAAAGGCCTGGAACCTATTGGTGAGGGCTATCTTGAATTCGTTGAGTTTTACGGTATCCCGAAGAAAGGCCGTATTAAACTTCTGTGATGTTGTCTGCCCCGTTGTCCAGTGTTTCTTAAATTTCAGTTTCATTTTGGCGACCAGCAAGCGGTGATCTGAAGCTATATCAGCTCCTCTCTTGGTTCTCACATCCTTCATAGTCCTTCTGAACTTTTTGTTGACACAGATATGGTCGATGTGTTTTTGAGTAGTGTGGTCCGGTGAAATCCATGTGGCTTTGTGAATGCGTTTGTGCGGGAATATTGTGCCACCGATGACCAGTTTGTTGAAGGCACATAGGTTTGCAAATCTCTCACCGTTTTCGTTCCTTTCTCCCAGTCCATGTCGTCCCATGATGCCTTCATATCCAGTGTTGTCCATTCCAACCTTGGCATTCAGGTCTACCATAAGAATCGTCAAATCCTTTGGTGAATATTTCTCGACGATTGACTGCAGCCTTTCGTAGAATTGACCTTTAACGTCGTTATTGTAGTCATTGGTAGGTGCATAACATTGGATGACGTTCATTGTAATGTCCTGTTTCTTTGTTTTGAAGGATGCTTGAATGATCCTGGGTTCATGAGATTCCCATCCTTTCAGTTCCTTTTGTGCATGTTCGGACAGCATCAGTGCAACTCCTTGTGTATGTGAAGCATTTTCCTCTTCATGACCAGTATATAACAGCAGTTCTCCTGAAGCTAGTCTCAGTTGTCCTACCTGTATGCAACGCGTTTCACTGATGCCGAGCACCTCGAGGTTGTATCTTTTCATTTCTGCCGCAACTTGAAATAGTCTTCCAGTCTCCCACAATGTACGGACGTTCCATGTACCTAAAAAAATGGTTGCTCTGGTTGTCAGAAGGGGCATCGGCCCCGTGACTTTCGAGGGAACTCGGCTTCCATCATGCGACGTCATAATTCTTCTTCCAACTCCCAGGGCAGAGTTAAAATGGTTTGAACTATTTTTTTCTAGTTAGCGTTTTTTTGGCAAGTTACATTTCGACGGAATGGGGTCGCCAACCCCATGTCCAACCCTCCTCCTTTATCCGGCAGTGGCCCATAAGGTTTTACTGGTGGAGTTGCGGCTTATTTAGCTGCAGCAAATTCAGAGTAAACTGATCATTTAATCTGCGATTCGAAAGTCTAAGCGACTGTGTAAAAGTACATAATTCACAATATGCTTCAAACTGTACACAGTGTAAACAAGGGGTTCACTACCGTAGCGTTTTCATATCTCATCAAGAAATTCTTGATTTCCTTACGCGCAACGTGCGTAAATTTAATGTATAGTTCGGGGTGACGTGGCAGGTTTACGGACAAAGTCGTTGGAAATTTATATTGAACTCTATACGTAACTTATTTCCGGAGAGTGCCGACCCTAAGTACAGCAGAAACGGACGATATTCCAAACGGAGACCTCATCTATAGAGCAAAAATTTATTTGCAAGTTGTGTGTTGACTGCAACGCAATGTTGCTCGAGGTCATAGTCAGTGAAATTATTAAAATGGTAATTGGTGAGATGTTTAGTTACCATTGATATTATTGAAAGCCTATAAAAATTTTAGGATGTGAGCGTAGCTGCATTATTTTGTGTGCATCAAGTATTAAGTTTCAGTAATAAACTGAAAAATAATTAAAAGAGCAACCATAGAACTCAGAAATGAGCGCTAGATTATATGTCATCTATTAACAAGTATTGGTTATAATTACCATTCTCTTGTCTGTTTGGGAAGTTAGGAGAGTAAATTGCTACTCCGAACTATTGTAAGCACGTTATTTGTTCTTAATAGAAATATTTTTGTCGTTAGTGTGACACTTTTCACGTCTTGCTTATTCAATACCTCTATCAAATGTGACGGGAGTAACTGACTTGTAAGTTCTTGGACACATTCCAGTTATGCCTTACATTATTCTTTTACCGCCTAATAGATTCCCACCTACATAACTAGCGGATTACTGCATTGCACCTGACTTGCATTTTCAAAGCCTTCTAACAAAGTAGAGTATTGGCAAGAGATAAGTGGTTCATTTTGTGCAGTATTTACCATCAAGACATGTATTTATTTTTAACTATCATTTTGATTGCGTAGATGACATAGTTTGCTCTAACTTCGACACTTATGTTTAGTAAATACCGACTAATATATCTGTAGTGTCCCGGCTACTTACGTAGTGAAAAACGTGCTAGAAAACAAGTACTAAAGTCATATTTGTATCATTTTACACTGCTGAATAATAATTTTCCAGGTGACAGCTGCAGTTCCAATGAACGCTATTCGTGGAGCTTCAAATTACGCTTTGAATCACTAATTCAGCTTGAAGAACACAAGAAATGTTACGGTTATGAACAATGTTTAAACTAGTTTGATCTCTGCTTAACAACCTACTAGTGTAACATTGTTGTAGATGATATATTATTCATATTTTGCAAATAGAGTGACATTGCTTAGTTCCACTTGATCAGCAATAATTGATTAATATAATCTGAATATTTTGTCTTAAAACCAGTGATATCTAACTTTCATGTAGTTGTTGTTATACACATTAAAAACCGACTAAGATGGTATTATTTTCGACTTTAGGTAGTCTCAGCATTCGAGCCACTATAAGGCGGATGACGAAGAGACTTCTGTCTCAAGAAAAAGTTAGTGTAGGCGATATCGAAGACGAAGTGGTGGGGCATATGGACCGTAAATGGGAACCACTACACTGGCGAGCTCAACTCAGTAACATTCGAAAAATGCGCGAAAGTCGTGATGCTCCAGTAGACTTGATGGGTTGCGAAAGATTGGCTGATGAAACAGAACATCCAAAAGTATAGCTTTATTCACTAAATAGTTCGAAGACCTTCAGATTACAGGTACTGATAAGTCTTATGCTGTCAAGTCAAACAAAAGATCAAGTTACGGCAGCGGCGATGGAGCGTCTAAAGTCGAAGGGATGTACAGTTACAACATTAACAAGTATGGAAACAGAAGACCTGCAAAAATTAATTTACCCAGTGGGATTTTATAAGGTAGCGCTTAATTTCAACAGAGTTTTTCCCTAGACAAAAGCTTTGAATATAAAGAAAACGTGCGAAATCCTAAAGGAAAAATACAATTCAGACATACCAGAAACTGTTGAGGAGTTATGCACCTTACCTGGTAACCGTTATAACATTCTCTACTGAACATTCTAGGTGTCGGTCCGAAAATGGCATATCTAGCAATGAAGTGTGCGTGGAAAAAAACAGCAGGAATAGGTGTTGATACACATGTACATCGAATTGTCAATCGCCTGAAATGGAGTAAAAAACCAACCAAAACCCCAGAACAAACTCGTGTGTCACTAGAAGAGTGGTTTCCAAGGTATCAACTGAAATAGAATTAGTATATGCTTTAATTCTTGTATGTGGGGAACCACATCACTTTAGACTTATTTTCTCTGTATTAAGTATGATGAGTAGGGGACCATCTACAAAACTCGAATTTTAGAAATTTAGGTTTGTTGATGTACTTTACTGTCATATGTAAAAGTGATTCTTTAAATACAAGATGGACATAACTACGGCCTTACAGCTATTTAGGTTGATAGGGAAAAATACTAAATACCGTCGCTACCTGTCTCATACTTACTCATACAGTTAATAACACCAGTCCTATGTTGCTTGGTAAACCGTTATATTCAGAACAGTTTTGGACTAAAAGTAACATTAGACGGCGATAACGATAGTGTTTAGATAATATAACTTGGAACAGTATGCGCGTTTAGATCACTTTGTTCAAGAGAATTCTCTACTTTAAAAGCTTACGTGTTGTAGGATATTAGATGAAAAACGAAGATAATATCCATTTTGTAATTGTCTTAAACATTACTCAAGGATTAAAAATGACTATAAGTCGGACACCCAGTAACTACGAGTTGTTTTTATCGATCGTTTAAGTGACTGAGCACTAAGATATTCTTGTCATATCAGCCACGAAAGAGAAATGAATAGTTACTTTGATTTTTATAGGAAAATGTACGAAACCGAAAATTTCTCCTATACTGTAAATTATTTGACCTTATGACCGTGCATATACTCTCATTGACCAACTATCATTGCTTTTAGGGAATACTGGGATGAAATTAATTGGTTGTTAGTTGGTTTTGGCCAACAAATCTGTCGCCCAGTGAATCCGAACTGCGGGGAATGCTTAAATCTATCAACTTGTCCATCTGCGTCGAAACCCAGTTTGAAAGTAAAGAAGACTAAATTCGAGTAACTTATACTTATCCCGCATTTCAAACATGATCAAAAAGGACTTTTTGTGTGATCATTAATTATTTTTTCAATAAATAAAGTAATCATAATCAAAGCACATCTGTTTCAGATTCAGTTTATTAGTGGGATTGAGGTATATGATTTCAACTTTTCTTGTTCGATACGGACCAAACTGAAAGGCAAAAGTAGAATACATAGATATGTGTAATGTAATAATATGTTTATTTAGCTATAAATAATATACTTTCCTTCTGGATATTATTTTCAATATTATTTTACCAACGCAATAGCAATCACCTGTTAAGATGTTTGTTGTAATTTATTGTTAGCAAGTTTAGGTTGGAAATGACTTCAAAAAAGTACTACTAATCACAATTGATTTGGAAAATGTGTGTAGTGAGTTTAAATTGGATGCATAGTAAAGAATACACGGTGCTACTGTACTGGATTGTGCAGTGTGGTAATATGAGTACACTCCACAAAACCGTGTACATACATCTCGTGCTCAACTGGTTCAATGAATTACGATATTAAAATTTGAATTCATTGTATCTGTTATTATCACCACATCTTCAGTTTATTTGCCACCTTTTTCATACTTGTCAAAGTGTACATCATATCTTCCAAACTGCGATCACTAAGCAACTTTCTGTAATACACATTACGACTTAATGGTCGTATTTTTCAACAAACTATTTCATTTGTTAATTAACAGTGAATACAGTCGCACAACTGGAATAAGTGATGGAAAAAGTTTGACACAAATACTGGTAACAAAATCATTGCTAGTCGGCGGATCAATGAAGATATCGAAATAAGCAGTCTCCGTAAAAAGTAGCCACAAAAAAAGCAGTGCAACACCAGGAAACTGATGATTCTCGATGTATCAAACTACTTAATGTACAACGGGTCACTATAACAGGTTTTGTATTACAATGTTTTCACTTCATGCGGCTAGCCTTTGTAACTTTTTAGTCAACTATTGGCAGTTACTTTAAGTATATGAAAATAATTAAGTTTTAACCTACTTCCTGTGTCGAATTAGTTACTCAGTCTGTTTTTATTATTTTTATCACTACTAGTACACTTGTAATCTTACTATCAATTTGTATGGTATATATTTATAGCGATAAGTTATGTAGTCTACTTCATTGTTGATTAACTCATAAACTGGCATATTCGGTGTAGCGACCATTTTCATTCTTCCGTTTGGTAAAAAAACAAAGTGAAGAAACGCCTTATCAATTAGTTTCACATCATGACAATGTCACGATAATTACCAAGTAATATTGGGTGATTGGAAGGAAAATGATTGCAACAGTCATACTAATTATTCGAAAAATCCAGTTGGACAGTTCCTACATTGCATGTTATATGAGAATAAAGGAAGAGGAAAAGGAGACTGAAGGCAGAATTCTTAAAATTACAATTTATAAATGGTGCTACCGGACAAGTTCTAACTCAAAGGTTAAGTAAGCCGGTGTAGAAAACAATCAACGTGGACACACTAAATATGGATTTTTACAACTGCTCGATAATTAAAGCCACCAACAAAGACAGACTGCCTCAATTCGCCACACCTACGAATATTTATCATTTCAATTGCTCCATTGGAGCCAGTTATATAGGGTACGTAGTTTGACAAGTCTGTCATCGTATAGCAGAACACTATCCACCCTGATTGAACAAAGGATAGGTAGGAGTGATTAGGAACTCTGTTTTTGCTCACTTTCAACTAAAGGGATAAATAGTAGATAATTTACAGCGTGGGAATCCGTAACACCGTATTTATATGTATTGTATTACTTACTTAGATACTGCCTAGGAACGGGGAATTACAGTGCTCTTTCTTAGACGTTTGATCATGTCAGTTTTTAAGGGAGTGGAATTATTTAACTAAAACATACCAGTTCCCAATGTATCTGAGAAACAAAAACGCTCAGATATGGTTGAGCTTTTATTTGTTACTTGTATAACCTGATATAGAATCTCAATAAATATGAACATTCACCATTCCAGATAGTTAAGTCACAGTTGAGAAACAACCGCTACAATCATAATTGTTTTCACTAAACTGTAGTTGGAGATGATATTTTCTTTATTTTGTGGATATTTTGAGATTTATATTTTTACGCTTCATCAACAAGCACATGGTGATTTCATTACTGGTAGTCTTTTTACAGAGGCCGTTCACAAATCAAAAGTGTAGGGAATAATAAGCAAAATTATTTGTTGGCATCCAACAATTGAGGCTCCGTTGACTTATTATACCACGCAAAATAAAAGTTAATACTCATTATGACCATGCTTTTAATTTTAGTTAATTAGATGCGGAGGAATTTTATTAAGTCAAGGGGCAAAAAGAAAACTGACTAAACAGAGCAATCGATAAGTAAAATATACTTCATTCCGAGTTTATTGTGAAAATTTTCAGTGGTATGATTGGTCACTTTGAAAAAACAACCAATTAATAATGTAAAACTCCGAACTTAGGATGAACATGCACAACGCTAAATCATGAAATGCCATATCAACATATTAAGAGAAAGAAAACAAAATAAGAAGGGAGATGCTAATACCAATAGGATGGTTCGTATGAGAAAAGTGATTAAAAATGAGGTTAAAGAACGAAAAGGTGTAGAATAGCGTAAAGTTGAATATTTAGAAGGTAAAGAATGATTAAAATTGAGCTATGAAACCCAAGAACTTGAACAAATTCGGATTATTCAATTTGGTCACGGCTATTAAGCTTGATACCGTAGATGTTTGATATGCGTTTCACAGATTTTAAGAGTGACTCAACAAAATAATTTGATCGATATACCATAAAACTGGACAGAAGTGAGTGCTAGAATTTGTAACAGTAATTTTCCACGAAAATATGTATTTACCATTTTCAAGATCAAAAGTGGGCAACTGCTAAATAATGTAGTGTACTTTTTAGTGATACCATCAGCATACCGTATTGTACTACTCAAAAATACTATAGTAGGCAAACGCTAACCACTTTATTGGTTTACTGCGTAAAAAATTGATACAAGTCGATAACAATTTATGTGCAACAACGCTTGTAAGTTTGTTCAAGATGGTTAGTGACCTTACACATAATATGAACACTTCGAAAAACCATTGTAGAAATTCTGTAGTCAATAACTGTCACACCAGTTATGCTTTGTGACAGCTATATCATGTCATTAATCTAATTTATCTGTTTTGTCATTGTTTAAATTAGTATAGATTAGAATAAAATGGAGTACCTATCTTCCAATCAAGGAATAAACTGACATTTTCGCACTATAATAACCTGGTTCATATGTCACATATCTACTAGAAAAAGCACAGGTCTAACTCACCAATAATAACTATAACAATTATCACAGCTAACCCTCCAATAATAAACCACATCTACAAGGAAATAAAAGAATTTTTTTGTAAAATTTTATTGCTGATCAAGGTGATAAAATGGATTTTATTTGTTTACTACAAAACAGTAATCTAGAAGGACTAATAAATAAGGATTTAATATGAAAAGCAGACTGAACATAATGAAACCCACACATTTTTAATCATGATTCGATAGTGTATTTCACAAAATCCGGCACTTTCAAACAACCGTAACATTTCTTAGGGCAATCTGCGCATTCTTTCCTCTTCAAATCAAGGGATTTCTTTACATCATGCTAATACAGACATTTCTTGAACTCAGTTGTGCAATAACATTAGTGGGAAGATGGTACATTTTAAACAGTTTCATTTTCTCTTGTACACATAAGTATATATATATATATATATATATATATATATATATATATATGAAGGGTATGTTTCATTCCTTGTAAAATCACGAACATCTATAATCTGAATGGATTTTGATGGACCTAATAAAATACATATCGGCTAGTATATCAATATTTTTTATTAATTGTCTTAGTAGCCATATTTGCGGCAACGTTTATGTTACGATGATACACGATATTAATAAAAAGAGAATTCGCAGAAGAAACAGAACTAACTGAGGAGCCTCATTTCATAGCCGTTAGGTTCTACCGCTAACAAAGTCTTCTAGACATCCCAATCGTCAATACAAGCATGTTTGGGATGCGATCCTCCCTTCCAAATGCAAAATATTGCTTCACGATTAGCTTGCGTCTGAACTAATGATAGCAAGCTAAGTTAATGACCATATTCATTGCTTCAATCATACAGAAAGCTCGACTGGCTTTTGCCAACTTTTGACACTTGTAGCGTAGGTGAGATATTCATTTGTCAACCAAAGGACGAGTTTACTGAGCGAAAGTTCACTCCATTCCACTATAAGAATGTGAAACATGGCTACTAAGAAAAGAGATTATTTGTAGATTACTAGTATTCGATCATAAGTGTCTTCGAAACATTGCTCATATATCCTCGGACCATGGAGTAAGCAATGCAGTTGTTAGGAAAAGGGTATTAGGTAAGGGTGGCAAATCAATTGATGAAGAAGTGAATGTTCATCAGTTGACGTGGTTGGGACATGTGTTACGAATTCCCGACCACCGACTACTCGATGAGAGATGTTGTCTGATGTAGGAGAAGGCTGAAAGAAAGCTATGGGCGGCCAGACCAAAACATGACACAAATCCATGAAATCATTGACAACTGCATGAGCCATGTTGGTAGATGTAGATTACCTGGTTAGGTTCGGCGAGACGATAGTAATCGACGGTTAGAGACTGAATGACATCACTCAAAATGGTTTGCAATGGCGCAGGTGCATCCATTATTTGTCTTCCCTCAAATTCTAATCTGAATTCCTCGTGAAATTTTTTCTCTTCTTGAATTTATTCCAATGGGATATACTTCTCAAATCATATCTTCAATCCAAAATCTTCTCACTATCCTCTATGGCTTCTACTACACCGCTTGATTTAGAAAAGAATACATTCCACCTATTTTTACCTAAGATAAATAATAAGTTCCTACAAAACTAAACGTTTTACAGTTTCACAAAATTTAATTAGC